TCGGCCTAATGCGCGTAATTACTTCGTATTACTGATTTCATCTTGTGTCGAGATCTCTGATATATATTTTTAAAATATAAAACCACAACTGATGTTGACTTCAAACGTTGAGTTCAACACCAAGTACTTTAAATATAAACTAACGATATTTTACTGAAAAAAACAATTCAAAACTAATTAACCATTGTCAATAATATCAATGCACCCACACAAACATAATTAACACATGCATTTTTAAGAGGAACGTTGACACTCGAAAATCCCACATGAGTAAATGATACTTGCTGATGATCCCAACACTTTCTAGTGCTCGATGATCAAATAATTTCATGTGAAATACTTTTCATTCAATTTTTATCAGTAGTTTTTTAGATATTTCAGTTTCAACTTAAATCATATGTTAATATTAGGTTAGTTATTGCTGTTCCAGTATAAATATCAGTTGAAATGAACTTCTGAAGACAACAATGAGCTGGTGATAAATTTATTCAAGGAATTAAAACATAAAAACGATTAGAAGGCGCTGTCTTCTGCTTATAATTGATTGTCGCAGTCATCGAAGAATTAGCGAAAGCTAATGGAGTCAATTTGACAGTGGAATAAACCGTTTAAAACTAGTGACATATAAACACGACGATGGTTGAAATGGTTGATATGGTCCTCAGATAAAACAAATATGAATTTGCCAATTACTACCATAAATGACGCGCCATGACCTAATATCTGAGCCCTAACAACAATTCACTTTTACTACAGTTATAAAAGACAAATTTGCTGAAGCCAATCGGTTCATTATTGCCAACCAACATGATATGCTATAGTAAGACGAATAAAGGATATTTCGGAGCAAGATTTTGGATTTTATTGAAGGTTTTGCTAAAGGTTTTAACATGACGCGAGAGCGCTGTGTCGTGTCTAGCATACCTCGCTGTTGACGAAGTAAAATTATTTATAATCTTCAAGAAAGAGACAAGAACGTACCTTTATCAATTCTTGAAACCCATAATCCAACTACGTCGCCATAATTCAGCGAGATTTCAGTGGCGTAGCCATTGTATAGCCTGACAATTTAATCATGCTATGCTAATATTTTGGTGTTCATTGACTGTGAAAACAATGAATTTCTAAAGAAATGAATAATGGTAATAATATAAAATTTGCATAGCATGACTAAATCGTCAGGCTGGCTACGCCACTGCGAGATTTAAGTCAGAACCAAACCAAATAGACGCTAAGAAATGTACACAAACCTAGCGAACAAGAATACACCAAACACTCTGATGGTATCCTGCTGGTTATTTAATGAACTCAAGTCATGCATTCGAAATTGTCGTTGTGTGGGTGTCATACTGGGTGTGTCAAAAACAATATAATTTGCATAAGTTGATATTGCAGAGAACATTTCAATATCCGTGCGACTAATTATGCTTCTAATATTTGATGTATTTGACATTAGAATAACCACACAAAGTTCAATTACGGAATATCCAAGCATGGATTGTGTTCACGCACCCTTTGGATCAATTAGTGATAAATCACGCCAGTTGCAGTTTTCTAAACCACTCTGCAGAACCAGTCCAATTGTGTTATAGTCTTTGTTGATATTCCTTATCACTGATTTTGTCTTGTGTCGGCGAGAAAGACCTCATTGAAAGCTAGGATCCTCCTCGTATGGAAGTGACCAGAGATTTTCTACCGTGCAGATCTACACAAAATGTGCTGTTCCAAAGCTATTTGTGTAGTCCCAGAAACAGAAATGCGCAGTTAACAATTAAAAACAGGATAAGTCAAAAAAGCCTTTATGTGAATTTTAATCAATTGAATATCAGTAGCGGACCACAGCAAGAACCCATACAGAGAAACTCCATTTACTTAGCCTCGTTTATAGACCAAAATTTTTCGTACGGCACGCCTAATTTTTTCAGGCAGGCCAAAAGAAATTGGCGCCGTACCTAAGCCTGTTTACGCGTTATTTTTCTGTTTAGGCTTGAATACCACAAAATTTTAGAAAGCACCCAATGAATATTTTTGGCGCCCATAACCACACCGCAGTTGCTATATAAGTCAGCAGATTAACAAAGCTGGGATGCATCAATTGAAACAAATGAACATGGTTTAGTTGACAAAATAAAGGAAATTAAGACAACTTGTTAGATCATCTGGTAATCATGCCATAAAGGCCTTCTAAAAAAGTTATCCTTTGAACAAAAAACGAATCTTTTTATTCGTGTTATAGTGTCAATATTTTTTTGCATTTTATAACTTGTTGAATGACTTCAGCACCCTCGGCTTCTATTAAAACATTTGTTTTCGTATCCAACCAGAGCTTTTCCTGCTGTTCTTTCCCGCCATTTTGCAGTAATTATTTAATCTGCGCATGATCAAAAATAAAAAATTGCTGATGAAATCAAAGAACATTCGAGGCCGACCTTCACTCAAATCCGATTCAAAATTGCTGATGCAACTATATTTTCGGCACGATGTCCATGCTTTGACAGGTCGAGAACTTTTAAAGCGGTCTTGGCAGGGATAAAATTAATAGTCTGCGGACTTATATTATGTCTGTTTATAGGACAAAATTTAAGCGCCGTGCCATTTTCTGCCAGCGTGCAAAAAATTAAGCGTGCCTGGCCAAAAATGCTTGTCGTGTAAACGAGGCTTTAGTCACTGCATGGTCATGGCCACCAATAATATATGGCGGACTATCGGTGACATACGAGAACCAGTAAACTAGGCTTGAAGCCTGGTTTTCATATGTAAGCGACAATTGGCGAACGCTATTGCCAGAGATCATTGCAGAATAAAGTTCTGTGTTATTTTCCATAAATTTTCTTGGTCATTGGTTATCAACAATACATCGCAGACCGTCGGTGGTTAATAAGAACGCCAGGGTTATGAGCCAGGTCGATGGTTATTTGGTGGTGAATGCGGGAGAATAAAGGGCTTTCTTATTTTAAACAAATTTCATCACCGGCCAGGGGAAGGTTCTCCAAACCCCCCACAGCTCCCGCATCTATAAATGATCAATTTCTATAGTTGGAACTATATTTGGTTCCGCACCCACCCAAAATCTCACCTAACAATTTCCTAAAAAGACCTCACGGTCATGAATATCGCTTCATTGGTTTCTATTGTTTCCTGTGTTTTCTTGAGGGTAATAATGATTCAGGTAATTTTTTTAGCCAATCTGGCAACCCTGGTTTTTGGTGTGACTACCTCCAAGGTGATATTTCGCCAAGGTGATATCACACCAGTAAACTTTTACACTCATTGACTGCGCGTTACATAAGAACGTTAACAACCACAGATATAGAAAATTAGAAAATTCAACAACTGAGAAATATGTAATAAAATTGTTAACGGTTTACAAATTATTACAAATCTATACAAATTACAATAAATGCTGGAAACAGCATCTATGATAAAATATCAAGCAGATTTGTACTTGTGTGTACCAGACACTTTCTAAGTCATAATATCCTATTTCAACACTTGATATTAGTTTGCTTACAGATCAATATAGTTGCGTGTTCGTTTATTAAAGACACCACGTTTTATTACTTAACAAAACAAAGCTCTCCATTTGTATGCCTTATACAGATCTTTCATTCTCATAGAAAATATTCACATCAGCTCGTTCTCTACTCGGGGAATTTATTCCCGGTTTAAGGCTACAAAAATCTTCCTTCCCAACTAATAAACGAACATTCCCTGTAATGTACATAGTTCTTGCAGTTCCATTAGGGGCATAACTAGAAGGATAATTGGGTGGTGTTTATTCATATATTCAGTTCTGCCCAGTGAACTCTATACAACTGGAACGATAACTCCTGACAAATATCCCTATTCAGCTTCAAGCTAAAATAGTTTTTCGGAGTTTTGAGACGAAATACTTGATGCCAGACGTTGGGCTGTGTGTCAAATTAAAGCTATTGAAAAGTTATATTTGGTGTAGAAGTTTCAAGACTACAACTACAAAAGAAATATAAAAAAATTACCAACCGGCAAAAAACCGGGAAATTTTGAAATATTTTTTACACACTTCACTGCAAGCTTAAGTCTCGAAATTTCTACACGAAATATAACCATTTAATAGCTTTAATTTCATATACGGCTCAATATTTGGCGTCAAGTATTTCATCTCAAAACTCAGAAAAAGGAAACAGCACTGGCTTCAACTCACCCCCCTCAGTTATCGTTCCAGTTTGTTTACAGTTCAATGGTTCTGCCGGACGAATTTTTATTTTAAGCTATTACACTTACAAAAGAAATCCGTCGGGCAAAACTGAATATATGAATATTCAACTCCCCCCCCCCAATTATCTTTCTAGTGCATGACGCCACTGAGTTCCGTTATCTTTCTTTTTCATCAGCATCAAACTTCAAGAACAAAATACAGCTAATATAGTTACTACAATTTCTACCATTATTTTCATAACCAGCACAATTACCATCAGCACCATCCTAGAGACCAACACCATCACCACTATCATAGACGAAAATTATCACCACCAACATGAATGTACCAGTGAATTACAGCACAGCAGCGGGGAAACCCAACATGCATCTAGGAAAATATGCAGTTTGTGTAGATTTTCCTAAAAGAAGTCTAAACCTTTTTCCACTTAATATCGTCCCACGAAGCAACTGCACTTCGCTTAATTAATATAATTCTCATAGAAAATATTCGCATCAGCCGTTCTCCACTCGGAGAATTCATTCGCGCGACGGGAAGCTAAATCTTAAAGGATAGGCTCGCTGAATGTTGTCCCACGAAGCAACTGCCCGTCGCTTAATATCCTTCAACAAAGGATTTGGTGGAATAGACAGTCGAAGAAACACCATATCGCCTTTGACCCCAGGAAAAGCCAGCACGTCCTCTTTTGGGGAAAGTTTAATTGTTTGGCTTGGCTTAAAAGTCTCCAAGTATCGTTGATAGGAAGTGTTGAGAATCGCGCCAGAGTCCATGTCATGAAATGTTATCAGGCGATGAGATAAAGTTAATACAATTCTACTCTTGCGAATACAAAAAGACCTGGTGAAATAATAAGAGGTCTTAAATGCAGAAGTTATATTTTGAGAATCACCACTGACCAGATCAATTATCTGACTCTGTTTAGTTCTCCTGCTCATGACTACTGCGACTTTGGAATCATTACTGAAACTTACGACATCGGGATACATGCCAGCATCATTGTGATAAAAGACTTCATACCAAGTTGGTTTTTCGGTATTTCTTTTCCAAATATAACATTTATTCTTATTACAACAAGAGATAAAGCCACCACCAGGCGAGATTTCTACTTCCATCTCAGGCTCAATTCCAGGCAAATTGATCATTACAGGACCATCAACATCTCTGACATCAAGAACTTTCACGGGTTCATTTCTTCCGAGAGCGAAGCTGACAAAGCCTTGAGAAAAACCAACCGCAATATCTGGGCCGTCAGACCAGGTAGCTAAATGACAAAGCGACACGTCCTGACTGTCAGCAAACAGAATCTCTAATTTCTCATCTACCGGGTAACGCGTTAATTTGGGAATCCCGTTAAATTCACTAATCACAAACAAGAAATCTTCCGACCACCAGCATAAAGACATTGAACCGCATTTACTGCTTTTGAAACGTTGTTCAACTTGGCTGGTATAGACATTCCATACGTTGATATATCCATCTGAGTTGCAGGATGCAAGTCGAAAGCCGTCAGGAGAAAACGAACTCGAGTATTTTTTCGTTCGCCGTGACAGACAGGAATGCTCTTGTTTAGGAGCTAATGTCTTAAAGACTATTAGTTTTTTATTATCTGAAAAGAAGCACAGATTATCTTCCAAAGCAGTCATTTTGTATCGATCAATTAAAATCTTTCGCGGAGAGGAAACAAGATAGTCCCAAGCAACAATCGCAGTCAAAGGAATACCTTCTGTGACATTCGAATAACAGGATTCTTTCGAAGAAAAAATACACTCCACACCTTTGCAGATCCACGGACGCGACATTATACATTTTCTTTCACATTCGTCAAATAGCCTTATTTCTAACTGTTTAGAATTTGGTTCGTCAAATCCCCGCTGAAAACATTGTTCACATTTCCTACTCTTTAACACAACTGGTTTCTCCCTTTCCCCGTGAGATAATTTTCGCTTATCACTTCTTTGCAATGTGATCGCATTCCAAACACAGAAAGAATAACCCGGATAAGATGTAGATTCTGAATTTCCAATAATAAATAACCCTGTGACGCTAAAAGAACACCAACCAACACGAAATCCAGCACAAAGCGACGACAGCAGCGTTTGTTTAGCAACGTCCCAAAGTTTAATGGTGTTTGAATAGTTGCTAGTCACCAGTCTTTTGCCGTTAGGGGAAAATGCACAGGACAGGAACGTCTCTTCATTTCCAGGGAAAAATGGAACTTCCTTTCTTCCAGCAATGTTAAACGCCGTTTCCAGTTTACCAAATAATATGAGCGAATCGTCTGGAGAAAATGTGCAGCATTGAATTTTTTCCAACTTTGTTGAATAGTTCATAATTTCAACTAAAGTTGGTAGGGAAAACACATAGATAAAATTCTTTATTACAACTGCTACACTTTTCTCATCGTTAGATAAAGCCACAGCTGTAATATCATCAAACTCAATGAGTTTCCAGACTCTCGGGAAAACCGAAACTTCGTAATAATTCAACTCGACAAAAGGTGAAACGTTTGATAGTAGCGTCTCCGCGATATTCTTCTGATCATCGCTGAAATAACCTTCTGGAGAATGTGTAAGAACCGCTTGTAAATACCATTGTGAAAATGATGTCAAATTAACTTGTTGTGAATATTTGAAAGAGGCCAATATATATATACGATTCAGGGCACCTTCCAAACGGTCAAATTCAATGACATGGTACGAAATCCGGGCACGTAAATCTTCGTTTTTAATCCAGGAGCTTTGGAGTAATGTGAGCCAGAAACGCCGCAATACGTAAGAATTGATCACAGTTAAAATATAACATACGATAATAACATCAACAGACCAAAACACACCTTCCTCCATTTCACACTTTTCTAGATGTTTAAAACAATGTTTTAGAGCGTATTCCACGTCATTAGTAAACTTCACCTCAAGTCCTGAGCGAACATTTTTCACAATTTCTTTAAAAACCTTTTCGCATAAAAGCCAAAGCGATCTATGTCCATCATCGACCTTGACAGTATACTGGTGATCTTTGTAGCCATTTGCTAGAAGCCAATCGATAACGGTTTTGTGAAATACGGTTAACATGTCATGTGAAACGTACAACAAGCAGGATACGGTTTCATTAATTTTGTTGATGATGTCTTTCGTTTCGCGACAATCTGGAGCTAAACCAAAAGCCTGAGCGACGAAAGTGACGGGAAGATGTCCTTCGGAAGCAGCCAGAATTTCTAAAATTTTCAACACATCGAACTTTTCGTGTTTTATGGCGTTAAGCTCGTCTTCAAGGCGTTTGAAATATCCTTGGTAAACAGAATTCCGTCCTTCTGGGAGAAAGTGCATGACGTCATCATTTGTTATCTTCTCAAGATCATAGCGAGCCCTTAGCCCAGATTGAAAGTGATTTGCATAGAGAAATGAGCCTTGGCATTTGGCAACAAAACTGGAAAGTAAACTAATATTATTTCTTTTTCGCTGACCACTTGGTTTTACTTTCCTGCGAACTAGACTTGGAAGGCATTTCTTGAAATAAAATTTAAGATCTAAGTTATTGTTGTAATGAACATTGGAAATGTCTGTCTTTTGCTCGTCTCTTAGTCTTAGATCAACAACGGAAATTTCTGGCCTGCTCGTCAACAAGATTTTGATGTACTCGGGAAGATCAGGAAAATATTCAGCAATCAAATGCGTAATTTCATTCTTATTATCTGCAGCACTTTCATCCAAGCCATCGATCACGACTAAACGTGGCTCTTTTATTTCCAATTCAGCTAAGGGATTTTGTAAATATATTTGGAAGGCATCTCTAAGATTTTTGACTTGATGCGGTCGCTGTAATTGATCAAGAAGCTTCTCTTTAAAACCAGGGACCCTCTCACACATCTGACTTGCGAGAGACTGTAGCATCATCATAGGATCTCTTAGGTTTGAATCACTGAAATCACAAAAGTGACAAGCAGCCAGCTTTCCTTTCTTATCAAATTCTTCACAGATTTTAGCGGCAAACACGCTTTTACCAAATCCTGGTCCAGCTGTTATTAACTTTATTCTATAATCACTCTCACTGCTACAAAACCACTCGTCAACTTCTTTTAACAACCACTCTCTTGTTCCAGGTAGGAAAATTTTAACTTTTCTTCCAATTTTATTCTTGAAATTATGTTTGGCAAGTTTTCGTAATACATCTTCATCACTCTCCTTGCAGAATTCTTTTTCAGGTTTGGTGTCCCCGGGTATTGATAGCGTGCGCTTCGCTAATGAATGGTGGATTTGAATTACTGCATCGTGCGTTTTATTTACTGCATCGCGCGTTTCATTTAGTACATCGTGTGTTTCATTTACTACATGGCGCGTTTCTTCAGCGTCTTGTGTTAAATGATTTACAGAACATTCAATTGTTGCAAGCTTTTTAATACACTCATCTTCTCGCTGTTTCCAATCTTCAAGCATTTGCACATATATATTTTCTTCGGGTCCTAGAGGACATTTTTCCAAATCGTCGACATCGCTTTGCGGAATTCCCAATTCTACCAATGCCCTGGAGATTTTCTTCCATAAAGATTGAAATAATAAATTGTCAACTCGAGTTGTTGTTACATGTGCAATAACTTCATTTCTGTAACATTTGATTCTTGTGATATTCGCCCGCGTTGACCTATCAGTATCTGGAGGCATTACACTCCATCCTGTTGATGGAAAACCACAAATGTTCCGGAATAGAACTGTAAGTAATGTGACATCAAAGGTTTTGGAATCTGGCGGGTTGCCAGACGGGGGAAACAGTAAATCCCACTGAGAATTATTAATAACTCGAGGTTTTAACTTTTGAAGAGATGTTTTGTTTGTAGCCAGTACTCCATGTAGACTAACAGGTGGATGGATGGTATCAAATGTATTTCTCAAAGCCTCAGTTCCTTTGTCAACCAAAAGTCTACTGAGTCTTGTAAAATTTGCTTTTCCTTGCAGTTCGCCAGAAGCCATTGCATAGGACAGAGTTAATTACTGTAACAAAATGGTTGTACTAATCATATAGGTTACACCGAGAAAAATAATGGGATGAGGTAGCCTTTATAATATTTTATGACATTCTGCATGATATAATGTTGTTATATATGGACTATACGCATATTAAAAGATGAATTAAAATTGGATTAATCCAAGAATTCTGTTCAAAATATAATGAGAAAATATGTAAAAGTAATTATTCTTATTATCAATATACTAATTATATTGGACTATTTCCAGGTTTCGTGCTTTATAGTGTGATAACCATTCCTTAAATTACAGTTAAACACTTATAATGACATTTACATTTGCTAAAGCTTGGTCATATATGACCTTGCCACTGCTAAGATGCCAGGGTCACACGATCAGTTCTATTTGTAAAACGTACGAACACGAAACTTTCTCCTTTTCTCTGGCAAATCGTCTAGTGAAATGCATTTCTTACTTACAGCATTTTTACAACTCCTCGTTCTATTACCACTGGTTTGAATAGCCAGCAACATTCTATAATTATAATCAAATTGATTTTAATCTAATATATCTAGTTAATGCTAGTTATTAAGTTCATAATAAAATACTGTATGAGTGAATGCTAATCAGTTAAGCGTCCGGAGAAGTGCGAGACAGAACGAACAGTAGATTTGAATATAACAGTGTAGTTGATAAAGTCCTACGGAGATTCCGCTCTTCAGAAGTTGTTTGACACTGCTACTTTAAACGCAAGTCGGACGGGAATTTCTTTTTAAATATTTATCAATACAAATTCATTTTACTGAAGTGATCACGATTTTTCTAATCTTTAGTCTGACGTATTTTTCTAATCTTTACTCTGACGTATTTTTCTAATCTTTAGTCTGACGTATTTTTCTAATCTTTACTCTGGCGTATTTTTTTAATCTTTAGTCTGACGTATTTTTCTAATCTTTAGTCTGACGTATTTTTCTAATCTTTACTCTGACGTATTTTTCTAATCTTTAGTCTGACGTATTTTTCTAATCTTTACTCTGACGTATTTTTCTAATCTTTAGTCTGACGTATTTTTCTAATCTTTAGTCTGACGTATTTTTCTAATCTTTAGTCTGACGTATTTTTCTAATCTTTACTCTGACGTATTTTTCTAATCTTTAGTCTGACGTATTTTTCTAATCTTTAGTCTGACGTGTTTTTCTAATCTGATATTACTTTTCAAGTAGAACCACAATTATTTGATCATCTGCATAGAAAATCAGAAGGAATTTCTCCTAAATGATCTTGTGAAAAGGCGTTACATTACTGACTTGCTACCACCCATGTGATGAACTCGCATGAACTTCATTTTACACATCCCTGAGATGGATGTGTAACCTGCGGTATGGGTGAAAGAAGTTTCATGAACTATGAAGAAATGAAATTGATTTGTTTTGGTATAGTATTATTCCACACCTTGTTCATTGTGTATTGTATATAGTTCAGTGCAATGCATGAACTATAAAGTTACACCAGCTGGTCTGAGATCATGACGTCATAAAGTGTCTCGACAAAACTGCGTTATCATGTGCCTGGTGTTATTTGTCCTTATTCTTCCAACTAATGGTATAAAGGGTGAAACATTTAACTCTAATACGCAGTTTGGAAAAAAATAAACGTGTTTTCACATAAATATAAAAAAATTACTTGATATCTTCGAGTGTCGAAGTCATATGCAATGAAGGAAATGATAGAGTGGCGTAGCCAGCCCGACAATTTAGTCATGCTATGCAAATATTTTGGTGATCATTCATTGTGAAAACAATGAATTTCTAAAGAAATGAATAATGATAATAACATAAAATTTGCATAGCATGACTAAATCGTCGGGCTGGCTACGCCACTGAAATGATAATTCACTTTTGTCGAAGATCTGGCTTCTGATTGGTTGATTTTTATACCCAGATCAGCAAGCAGTAAGCGGCAATTATTAATAGTCGCTAGAACATGTCATATATATTAATTATTAACCACAAACTTCATACGTGGTTTTGTATAAGGAGAGTAGATTTTACGAATTTACAAAACGAAAGTTACGCTTTCTAAAGTTTTAAAATCATTTTAACATGACGTCACAATGCAGTGCCGTGCTCAAATCTAGTTTTACTGCATACCCCCCCTGGTCAAAATGTAGTACTTCTCAGGAGGGGCTGCTCAGGAGGGGCTGTCCATGTATATCCGACCCAATTTGGTAAAAATATACATAAAATCTTGTAACATTAGACAAACTTATATTTGGCAATAAAAAGAGTTATTAAATTCAAACTCGACACACTAAGCGGCTGTTTACATGAGCCCGGTTACCCGAGATTCAACGAAGCGTGAGAGGACTTTGAGGTATTGAAATATTGTTGTGGTGATTATACGACTGCCAGGATCATGTTATCTGCTCATTTCAATACCTCAAAATGATCTCACGCTTCGTTGAATCTCGGGTAACCGAACTCATGTAAGCAGCTCCTAATACTAATCTCAGTGAGTTCATCGTTCACTGTATGTCCTGGCTTTGACCTTGCTATACAGAAATACGTGAGACTTCGTATCATTTGCTATTTCATCCTCAAAGAACATTCGAAACCGACCCTCACTCAAATCCGATTCAAATGCCTGATGAAACACGTAATTTATTAACTACCAAAATGATCTGTCATAGACAAAGGAATAAATAAGAGAAACAAATTTGGGGCATTATTTAAGATTTTGCAAAACGTCCTAAGAGAATGATGCAGCACTGTACAATTTATAATCTTTAAAAGTCACCGAAACGTACTTTTTAAATCTTGAAGCAACAATTCAACTACAGCGTCTATATTCTACACGAATAGTACAAACCTTGCGGATAAAAAACATCAATCAATTTATTCTATCCTGCTGGTTATTTATCGAGCTTGCAATGGGTATGTGTATGTAGCTTTATTAATTTCATAGATTATTTCATCTTGCATATTATATAATCTCTTTAAATATCAACAGTCTTTAACGTTTCCTACCTTCGACTTGGTTAAACGAACATAAACGATCATCAAAAATGACAACGTAAATAAGATTTTTTTTCACAGGATAAAAGTTCTTATTTCTAAAAAAAAACATATTATTGTTATATTATTGTCAGTATTAAGAAGAGTAAAGGATATTAAGAACGAAATTTACGATTTTATTGAAGGTTTCGCTAAACGTTTTAACATGACGTCACAGCGTTGTGCCTGGCGGCCCAGAATACTTCGCTCTTGACGAAGTAAAATTATTTACAATCTTCAAGAAACAAAAACGTACCTATATATGAAATTCACGACGTAGACATAATTCCGGCACGATTTAGGCCACAAATAAAATAATAAACGCTAAAAAATGTTCAGAAATCCAGCAGACAAGAATAAAACAAACACTCTGATGGTATCCTGCTGGTTCTTTCTTCAACTGAATGTCGTAAAATATCTGCGTTGCGTTAAATACATTTTTGTCGGTCTAATGCGCTTAATTACTTCGTATTACTCATTTCATCTTGTGTAGAGAACTTTGAGATATATATTGAGAGCTGGAAAAACTAAACTAACGCTTAGGTTAAACATTAATGCCATTACGTCAAAGGCAAAGCACTTTAACATTTTCAGTCAGTTTTTAACCGTTCGCTAGTGAAGTATTTACATATTTTCTTTTCAATTTCAACACAATAAATAAATTAGTGCAGCTTGACTGTTCTTATTTCAAAACAAAATATGCAAATATTTCGCTAGCGTAAGCAACCACTTTTCTGCTTGTGGAAATCAAGCCTTATTAACGCCGTGAAGTTTCCTTACGCTTTTAATTTATAAAACTTAAACTAATTTAAACTTAAACTAATTTTTATGTGATCTCTATTTAATGGTTAGTAACTGACTAACAAATTATGACATTGCTTTGAAGACCATGCAACAATGCATAAGATGAGATGATGGTAATTTTAATAGAGATTTGCTCTACAAACTATAAATTTGTAAAGCTATACTATACAAAACTATAAATTTGGAAAGGAGTGAATTTGACAGTGGAATAAACAATTTGAAACTAGTGACATATAAACAGGACGATGGTTGAAATGGTTGATATGGCCTCAGATAAAACAAATATATGATGTGCCAATTACTACGATAAATGACACGCTATGACCTAATCTCTGAGCCTTAACATCAATTCACTTTTACTACAGTTATAAAAGACAGATTTGCTGAAGTCAATCGCTTAATCATTGACAACCAACATGATATGCTATAGTAAGACGAATATAGGATATTTAGGAGCAAGATTTTGGATTTTATTGAAGGATTTGCTAAAAGTTTTAACATGACGCCAGAGCGCGGTGTCGTGTCTAGCATACTTCGTTGTTGACGAAGTAAAATGATTTATAATCTTCAGGAAAGAGACAAAAACATACCTTTATCAATTCTTGAAACCCATAATCCAACTACGTCGCCATAATTCAGCGAGATTTAAGTCAGAATCAAACAAAATAGACGCCAAGAAATGTACACACACCTAGCGAACAAGAATACACCAAACACTCTGATGGTCTGCGCCACTGGTTATATTTATTGAACGGAAGTCATTCGAAATTGTCGGTGTGTGGGTGTCATACAGGGTGTGTCAAAAACACTATAATTTGCATAAGTTGATATTGCAGAGAGCATTTCAATATTCATGCGACTAATTATGCTTTTAATATTTGACGTATTTAACATTAGAATAACCACAAAATGTTCAATTACGGAATATCCAAGCATGGATTGTGTTCACGCACCCTTTGTATAAAATTAGCGATTAATTACGCCAGTTGCAGTTTTCTAAACCACTCTGCAGAACCAGTCTAACTTTGTTAAGGCGATGTTACACGCTAAAATTTTTCTTGCAACTTGCAATGCAATCCCACTTTTAAGAGATGTAAATTAGTACAGAATACTCAAAATGTAAGTGTAAGAAACGTACATGGAGCGTAATAAACATAAAAGTTTTGTAGTTGCCAAATTTACATCTCTCAAAAGTAGAATTGCATTGCAAGTCGCAAGAAAAATTGCACCTTGTAGCAGGGCCTTTATAGTCTAATTTTCTTTGTTAATATTCCTTATTACTGATTTTGTCTTGTGTGGGCGAGATCTTCCTCATTGAAAGTTACCAGAGATTTTCTACCGTGCAGATCTACACAAAATGTGCTGTTCCAAAGCTATTTGTGTAGTCCCAGAAATATAAATGCGCAGTTACCAATTAAAAACAGGATTAGTAAAAAAATCCTTTATGTGAATTTTAATCAATATCAGAATATCAGTAGCGGACCAAGGCAAGAACCCATGCAGAGAAACTCCATTTACTTAGTCCCGTGTATGGAAAGAACATTTTTGGTACGACACGCTTAACTTTTTCAAGGCAGGCCAGAAGAAATTTGCGCCGTAACTAAGCCTGTTTACGCGTTATTTTTCTTTTTAGGCTGAATACCACAAAATTTTAGAAAGCACCCAATAGAATATTTTTGGCGCCCATAACCACATCGCAGTTGCTATATAAGTCAGCAGATTAACAAAGCTGAGATGCATCAATTGAAGCAAATGAATATGGTTCAGTTGACAAAATAAAGGAAATAAAGACAACTTGTTAGATCATCTGGTAATCATGCCATAAAGGCCTTCTAAAAAATTTATCCTTCGAACAAAAAAGGAATCTTTTTATTCGTGTTATAGTGTCTGTATTTTTGCATTTTATAACTTGTTGAATGACTTCAGCACCCTCGGCTTCTATTAAAACATTTCCTTTCGTATCCAACCAGGGCTTTCCCTGCTGTTCTTTCCCGCCATTTTGCAGTAATTATTTAATCTGCGCATGATCAACAATAAAAAATTGCTGATGAAATTAAAGAACATTCGAGAACGACCCTCGCTCAAATCCGATATGAGATAAATTCAGCGGTTAATAATAATAAAGTGACGATATTCAATAAGATTTAACAAAGAAATTTTCAGGGGAAGGTGTTCCAAACCCCCCACAATTCCTGCATCTATAAATTATCAATTTTTATAGTTGGAACTATTTGGTTCCGCTCCCACCCAAAACCTCACCTAACAATTTCCTAGAAAGACCTCGCGGTCATGAATATCCCTTCATTGGTTTCTGTTTTTCCGGAATCAGTAATAATGAATCAGCTAATTTATTCAGCCAATCTGGCAACCCTGGTTCTTGATGTAATTACCTCCAAGGTGATATTTCGCCAAGGTGATATCACACCAGAAAACTTCTACACTCATTGACTGCGCGTTACATAAGAACGTTAACAACCACAGATATAGAAAATTAGAAAATTCAAAAACTGAGTGAAATATGTAATAAAATGGTTAACGGTTTACAAATGATTACAAATCTATACAAATTACAATAAATGCTGGCAATAGCCTATGATTAAATATCAAGCAGATATGTACTTGTGTGCACGAGACACTTTCGAAGTCATAATATGATTAATATCCTATTTCAACACTTGATATTAGTTTGCTTACAGATCAATATAGTTGTGTGTTCGTTTATTAAAGACACCACCTTTTATTAGTTAACAAAACAAAGCTCTCCCATTCGTATGCCTTATACCGATATTTCATTCTCATAGAAAATATTCACATCAGCTGGGTCTCCACTAGGCAAATTTATTATTATCCCGCTTCAGGCTACAAACATCTTCCTTCCCAACTAAAAAACGAACGTACGTAATGTACGTAGTGTACGTTCCCTGTAATGTACGTAGTTCTTGTAGTTTCATTAGGGGCATAACGAGAACGATAATTGGGTGGTGTTCATTCATATATTCAGTTCTGCCCAGTGAACTCTATACAACTGGAACGATAACTCCTGAAAAATATCCCTATTCAGCTTGAAAACAAAGTAGTTTTTCTGAGTTTTGAGATGAAATACTTGACGCCAGACGTTGGGCTGTGTGTCAAATTAAAGCTATTGAAAAGTTATATTTGGTGTAGAAATGTCAAGACTACAACTACAAAGGAAATATTAAAAAAAAACAATTACCAATCGGCAAAAAACAGGGAAATTTTGAAATATTTTTTAGATATTTCACTTTAAGCTAAAGTCTCGAAATTTCTACACGAGATATAACTACTTAATAGCTTTAATTTCATATCCGGCTCAACATTTGGCGTCAAGTATTTCAGCTCAAAACTCAGAAAAAGTAAACAGCACTGGCTTTAACCCACCCCCCTGAGTTATCGTTCCAGTTTGTTCACAATTCAATGGTTCTGCCGAGAAAAACTGGTCGGGAAAAACTGAATATATGAATAATCAACTCCCCCCCCCAATTATCGTTCTAGTGCATGACGCCACTGAGTTCCGTCACCTTCAGAAACAAAATACAGCTAATATAGTTACGACAATTTCTACCGTTATTTTCATAACCAGCACAATTACTATCAGCACCTTCGTAGACACCAGCACCATCACCACCATCATAGATGAGAATTATCACCACCAACATGACTGTAACTACCATAACGAACATCTTAAACAACACCATCATACGAATGGCATTGGTCACAGTTTTTAGGACTTGTTTCTTGCGATTGTATTCAAGATATCATCTTTGTTTTGTTTAACAAACTGTAACCCCAGTTAGGGAGGCAAGGGAGTGCTATCACTTGCCCAAGGTGAACTCCCAGACAAACGGAGGGAAGGAGGTGTCTTACTTCTCCATTCTAGACCAGCTCCAAGCAAAGTCTAGCCGCTTCCCCAAAACAATGTTCATGATGATAGTTTTTCATGCTATTGCTCACTAAATCCATTATATAATATCCTAACCAAAATTTCAGTTTCAAAACATCTGTCGTTCATAACAAAGCCTTTATCAAATAAGTCTCCTCCTTTTGTTTTTTGTCCTCGTGTGAACGAGTTCACTTCAGTTATTTTTAAGAACAAAGATATTCGCATTTAATTGGTATAAAAAACTTGCGGGGAAACCCAACATGTAAGAAAATATTTTGTGTAGATTTCCCTAAAAGCAGTCTAAACCTTTTTCCGCAAGATGACTTTATTCCGGTTAAAGAAAGGATTGACTACTGCATCTCGCTTAATATCGTCCAACGAAGGAAGTTTCAGTCGTTTAATATCGTCCAAGGAAGGAAGTTTCAGTCGTTTAATATCGTCCAACGAAGGAAGTTTCAGTCGTTCAATATCGTCCAACGAAGGAAGTTTCAATTGTTTAAATATAGAATGGTCCAATTCAGCAACTGCTAGTTGCTTGATATCGTGCAACAAAGGATTTGGTGGAATAGACAGTCGAAGAAACACCATATCACCTTTGTTGTCAGGAAAAGCCAGCACGTCCTCTTTTGGGGAAAGTTGAATTGTTTGGCTGGGCGTAAAAATCTTCAAGTATGGTTGATAGGAAGTGTTGAGAATCGCGCTAAAGTCCATGTCATGAAATGTTATCAGGTGATCAGATACAGTTAATACAATTCTACTCTTGTGAATACAAAATGACCTCAAATAAATAATGGGGTGCAATGCAGGAGTCATATTTTGAAAATCACCAGTGTCCAGATCAATTATCTGACGCTCAAGAAAATTTTTCTGCATGACTATTGCGACTTTGGAATCATTACTGAAAATTACGACATCCGGCAATATTTGAGTACTTCCAGCGTCACGGTGATAAAGGACTTCATACGAAGTTGGGTTTTCGGTATTTCTTTTCCAAATATAACATTTATTCTTATTACAACTAGAGATAAAGGCACCACCAGGCGAGATTTTCACTTCCATCTCAGGCTCAATTCCAGGCAAATTGATCATTACAGGACCATGAACATCTCTGACATCGAGAACTTTCACGGGTTCATTGAATTTGAGATCAAACCTGACAAAACCTTCAGAAAAACCAATCAGCTTTGAATGACTGAAATCAGACAAGTCCTCTAGCGCCACGTCCTGACTGTGAGTAAACAAGATCTCTAATTTGTCATCTACCTGGTATCGCGTTAATTTGAGAATCCCGTTAAATTGACAAATCACAAAAAAGAAATATTCCGACCACCAGCATAAAGACATTGACACGCATTGACTGCTTTTGAAACGTTGTTCAACTTGGCTGGTATAGACATTCCATACGTTGATATATCCATCTGAGTTGCAGGATGCAAGTCGAGAGCCGTCAGGAGAAAACGAACTCGAATAAACGATCGTTGGCTGTGACAGACAGGATTGCTCTTGTTTAGAAGCTAATGTCTTAAAGACAATTAGTTTTTTATCTTCTGAATAGAGCCACAGATTATCTCCTAAACGTGACATTTTGAGTTCATTAGAAAAAATCAGTCGATGAGCTTCAGCAAGATAGTTCCAAGCAACAATCACAGTCAAAGGAATACTTTCTGTGTCACTTGAATAACAATATTCATTCGGAGAAATAATACACTCCTCACATTTGCAGATCCACGGACACGAAATCATATAATTGCTAATAAATCCAAACCTTATTTCTAAGTGTTTAATATTTGGTTGCTCAAATCTTCGCTGAAAACATCGTTCACATTTCCTTCTCTTTAAAACAACTAATTTCTCCCTTTCCACGTGAGATAATTTTCTCTTATCATTTCTTTGCAATGTGATGGCGTTCCAAACACACAACGAATAACCCGGATAAGGTGAAGTTTTTGATTTTGCAATAATAAATAACCCTGTGACGCTAAAAAAACACCAACCAACAGGAAATCCAGCACAAAGCGACGACAGCATTTTTTGTTTAGCAACGTCCCATAGTTTAATGGTATTTGAACCGTCGCTAGTCACCAGTCTTTTGCCCTTAGGGGAAAATGCACAGGTTTCGAACGTCTCTTCATTTCCAGGGAAAAATGGGACTTCCTTCCTTTCAGCAATGTTAAACGCCGTTTCCAGTTTACCAAATAATATGAGCGAATCGTCTGGAGAAAATATACAGCATGGAATTCTTTCCAATTTTGTCGACTGATAACTCATAATTTCAACTAAATTTGGTAGAGACATCACATGTATAAAATGCCTTTTTCCAACAGCTACACTTTTTTCATCGTTAGATAAAGCAACAGCTGTAAAACAATCAAAGCCACTGTGTACCCAGACTGCTCGCGGCAAAACCGAAACTTCGTAAGAATTTGACTCGACAAAAGGTGGAACGTTTGATAGTAGCGTCTCCGCGATTTTCTTCTCATCATCGCTGAAATAACCTTTTGGAGAATCTGTAAGAACCGCTTGTAAATACAATTGTGAATATACTATCGAAAGAACGTGTTTTGAATGTATGTAATACAGCTTCGTGTCATTCAGGGCATGATCAAAACAGTCAAATTCAATGACATGGTACGAAATACGGGCACGTAAATCTTCGTTTTTGATCCAAGAACTTTGGAGTGATTTGAGCCAGAAACGCTGCAATACATCTGAATCGATTTCAGTTAACATATAAGATACGATAATAACATCAACTGACCAAAACACACCTTCCTCTATTTCACACTTTTCTAGATGTTTTAAACCATGTTTTAGAGCGTATTTCACGTCATGAGTAAACTTCACCTCAACTCCTGAGCGAACACTTTCCATGATTTCTTTAAAAACCTTTTCGCATAACGCCCAAAGCGATCTATGTCCATCATCGACCTTGACAGTATACTGGTGATCTTTGTAGCCCTTTGCTAGAAGCCAATCAATAAAAAATTTGTGAAAAACGGTTAACCGGTCATCTGAAACGTACAACAAGCACGATACGATTTCATTAATTTTGTTGATGATGTCTTTCGTTTCGCGACAATCAGGAGCTAAACCAAAAGCCTGAGCGACGAAAGTGAGGGGAAGATCTTCTTCGGAAGCAACCAGCATTGCCAAAATATTCAAGACATCGATTTTTTCGTGTTTTATGGCGTTAAGCTCGTCTTCAAGGCGTTTAAAATATCGTTCGTAAACAGAATGCAAACCTTCTGGGAGAAACTCCATGACGTCATTATTTGTTATCTTCTCAAGATCATAGCGAGCCCTTAGCCCAGATTGAAAGTGATATGCATAGAGAAACGAGCCTTGGCATTTGGCAACAAAAATGGAAAGTAAACTAATAGCTTTATTTTGCCTAAAGCGGTAATGAGATGATAGATATGGATTATCCTTATAGAAATCTTCGCTCATCTTCCTTTTATCCACTTCCCTGCCAACTAAACTTGAAAAACATTCTTTAAAATAAAGTTCAAGATCTGAGTTATTGTTGTCATGAACATTGGCAATGTCTGTCTTTTGATCGTCTCTTAGTCTTAGATCAGCAACGGAAATCTCTGGCCTGCTCGTCACCAAGATTTTGATGTACTCGGGAAGCTCAGGAAAATATTCAGCAATTAAATGCGCAATTTCATTCTTATTATCTGCAGCACTTTCATCCAAGCCATCGATCACGACTAAACGTGGCTCTTTTATTTCCAATTCATCTAAGGGATTTTGCAAATATATTAGAAAGGCATCTTTCAGATTTTGAACTTGATGAGGTCGCTTTAACTGATCAAGAAGCTTCTGTTTAAAACCAGGGACATTCTCACACATCTGACTTGCGAGAGACTGCAGCATAATCATCGGATCTCTTAGGTTTGAATTACTGAAATCACAAAAGTGACAAGCAGCCAGCTTTCCAGTCTTCTCAAAATCTTCACAGGTTTTAGCGGCAAACACGCTTTTACCAAATCCTGGTCCAGCTGTTATTAACTTTATTCTTGAATCACTATCACTGCTACAAAACCACTCGTCAACTTTTTTTAACAACCACTCTCTCGTTCCAGGAAGGAAAAATTTGACTTTTCTTTTAATTTTATTCTTGAAATTATGTTTGGCAAGTTTTTGTAATACATCTTCACCACTCGCCTTGCAGATTTTTTTTTCGGGATTGGCATCCTCGGGTATTGATAGCGTACGCTTGAGGGACGTTTGCGGGATCTCATTGTCACTTTTCTTCAACAAAGACTCAACGATTTGTTTTATTGTTGCAAGCATTTTAATACACTCATCTTCGTGCAGTTTCCAATCTTCAAGCTTTTGCACATACACTTCTTCTTCAGGCCCTAGAGGACATTTTCCTAAATCGTCGACATCACTCTGTGAAACGCCCAATTCTACTATCGCCTGGGAGATTTTCTTCCATAAAGACTCAAATGTTTAATTGTCAACTCGAGTTGTTGTTACATGTGCAATAACTTCATTTCTGTAACACTTGATTCTTGCGATATTCGCCTGCGTTGACCTATCAGTATCCGGAGGCATTACACTCCATCCTGTTGATGGAAAACCACAAATGTTCCGGAATAGAACTGTAAGTAATGTGACATCAAAGGTTTTGGAATCTGGTGGGTTGCCAGACGGAGGAAACAGTAAATCCCACTGGGAATTATTAATAATTCGAAGTTTTAACTTTTGAAGAGATGTTTTGTTTGCAGCCAGTACTCCGGGTAGACTAACAGGTGGATGGATGGTATCAAATGTATTTCTCAAAGCCTCAGTTCCTTTGTCAACTAGAAGTCTACTGAGTTTTGTGAAATTTGCTTTCTCTTGCAGATCGACAGAAGCCATGGCGTAGGACAGAGTAAATTACTGCAACAAAATGGTTGTACTATTTAGCTATAGGGGCTAGAATCCTTTACCAGCTGATAGTTTTAGTAAATATACAATTAAAATTATTCTGAAAACAGTCCACTTTAGTCCAGCATAACTTCACATTGTAAAATTTTCTTTTTCTTGCAGATCGACAGAAGCCATGACATTACACGAAGTTTTACTGCAACAAATGGGTGTTAATACTAGATGGATTTCAGTATTAACACCCAGGTAGGGCTACCTATATCTAATGCTATTGTGTGTAAATAGTATTCAGTGATACTACGTGGACCGAATGTGTAACGAGGGCAATATCTCGGCAAATACAATGAAAAACGATGAAGCATTATGATGAACTAAACAGCTGAGAATGCATTTCCTGGCATGGAGAAATAGATATAAACAAATTGAAATCTTTACAGAAGCTAAACAACGTATCCACTGGAAGGTGATATTGGTTTATCATTATTGAAGCATGACATGCAGTATTAAGCCTGGCGCACACTTGTCAACATTGCACACTTATCACTCGCGGTAATTTCCTAGTCTCGGAGTAGTATTGACATGTTTTGTCGTTCGTGCTTAATTTTACGACAAGAATACACAAATGGAAGAATATCTCAATTTTTTCCCCGTAAAATGTGCACGTGAAAATTATTATGTGTGCGTGTTAAGCGCACCAGTGTCCACGAGGCTTAAAGAGTATTGGCAATAAATTTTTTTATTCTTGCTATCAGTTATATTCGACCTCCTGATTATGAATATGTGATTATTTTTTACCCAAACTGTTTTGTTTTCGAGTTATTTCATGATTAATATCCAATTCGTCCACCATCTTGGACCGATTTTCAAAAAAATTATCTTTTGGTAACTTGACCCTTGTGACGTCAGGTGCAGGGGAGATCAAAACAACAAATATATTTTATACGCGCAAATTGCGATGTCGTAGTTCTTGTAAGGGATTTCGCGCTTTTTAATCACTTAAATGAAAAATAACTATGATAAACAAGTAGAAGAGGTATTGCCCTATCAATTTGAAACCGAACCAGGTTTGAAGCGAAGCAACATCATTGCGTAGAGTGACTCAGATGATAGTCAATCGTCTGATGAGGAAGTCGACCATGCGTTTAAGGTTAAAAATGCATGTGTCTGGAGAGTCTGAATGCTATTGAATCATTACGTTGGCACGAAAAAACGTTGGAATACGATTTTCGGTAAACCGTATTCGCGATGATTGGTTCTTGCTAAAGGCTTGCAACATCTGATGATAATTAAACTGCATGTTAATAGCAACAATCAACTTGAAAGAGTTTTATTTATTTATTTATTTATTTATTTACAATTATTTATACACGGTAGCATCTCAACCAATTAAATAAAGACCTAATTATCTAAACTATTGTAAAATTTAAGAATACATGTACATTCAAAAATAAAAAGGTTGATTTTCAGATGGCCGTGTGTTAACAAAGTTAAAAATATTAAAAGAAGAACTATTAAAATATTAAAATATTAAAATATGGAGGAACTATGTTAAAATATCATTATTGATATCGAATATTGTTCCAAGTTGCAGCGCCTTTATAACTAAAACTACGTTTTAATGCATTAGTGTTAGGCTTAGGCATATGGAGAGTGTGATTGTTACTTCTCAATTCATACGTTTGGTTATTACGGATCGTAAAAAGATCACGAAGGTAATTATCTGAGTTACCTTTCATTATTTGAGTCATTAAATTTTCCAACTGATTCTCTCTCCTAGCCTCTAGAGTGTCCCATGAAAGCTTAGTTCTAACAATATCAGAGGGAGTTCTGTAGCAATCACCTGTAATTATTCGACCAGCTTTATTTTGGAGCTTTTGCAATTTTGTTTGCAAGGTTTTGGAACAATTATTCCATACCAGCGCACAATAATCAAAATGAGGTAAAACAAAAGCATTATAAATGGTTTTAGCGTATCTTTATCAAATAAGTGTTTAGATCGACGCAACATTCCTATCCCTTTTGCAGCTTTTTTTGTCACTTTGTCAACATGGTCTTTCCAGGTGATGCATTCGTCTACTACAACACCTAGTTTTTTGGTTGCTGAAACACGGTTAATACCCTCAGATCCCATTGATATAATTGGATCGGCACTAACTTGGGACAATCTTTGTCTAGATCCAATAAGCATATACTCAGTTTTGCTAATGTTTAAAGTTAATTTGTTGGCTAAAAGCCACATATGAACTCTATTCAGTTCTCTTTCTAACTTATCTTGAATCTCGCTTGCGGTAACACCACTAATTGTAATATTAGTATCATCAGCAAAAAGTGCTGGTACCGAAGAATCGAGACAATTTGGTAAATCGTTTATATAAAGTAAGAAAAGGAGAGGACCGAGATTTGACCCCTGCGGCACGCCTGTTTTGACCTCTTCACTATTTGAAACAGACACCCCCACTTTGCATACCTGTTTTCTATAACTTAGATATGAGATGAACCAACGAAGGGCATTATTTTTAATGCTATAAATTTCTAGTTTTTTACAAGATCTAAATCTTTTGGTCTTACAGTTGTTTAACAAAACAAGTTATTTAACAAAACAAGTTATTTACAAGATCTAAATCTTTTGGTCTTACAGTTGACGAAAACGTGATTTGGAAAAGGTCATATTGATGAAAATTATAAACAGTTTTACGTGACATCCTGAATTGGCGCTCTAACGCAAATAGGAATAAAGATATATAAGATATAGCTAGCAGCTAGAGTGCATCAAGTGTCAATTGAGCTACATTTTCCCCATTTTACTCCGTCTAGGATGGCATCGTTGAGCGATAAACTGCAAAAACTACAAAATAATCTCATCTAACTCTGTTTTTGTTTATTGTGGAACAGTTTGCCTGAATCTTTGAAATTATCTTCATTGCTTTCTATTTACCGTTATAATTTTCTTGTATGATTGCATGGCGACTTTAGTAATTATAATAACTTGTAGGTACACCACGTAAGTATTAAATACTGCAAAGCTTTCGGTCCGTTAACCCGGACCTTCATCAGTGCAATTACTTGAATACACGTTTGCGCGTCACTTAAATATCATGTTAGTCGTGATTAGTTTGCTAGCGCTATTAATTAAACGGTTTCATTTAATTAAGTTCTAATTAATGCGCGCGCCCTAGACAAGTATTTGACTAAGAGACACCGAAAAGAGCACGCCACGTACTATTAAGTGGCTTTCCCTCTTGGACGATAGTTTGATGTTTATAAATTTCAATAGATTCTCTCATTTTACGAGAGACAGTAAACTTATCGTTTGCTAAAATGGTAGCATCGTTCCATTTAATGCGATGATCATAAGTCCATGCATGGTGAGCTACTGCAGACTTATCCAGTTTACCTTTCTCGCAGTTCGTCTTATGTTCTTTAAGACGTATTGAGAGATTTCTACCGGTCTCTCCAATGTAAACCAAACCACATTCACATGGAATGCGGTACACACCAGGTTTCTGTTGTTCATCGACGCCATCCTTGTGTGTGTAAAGAGCGCGAAACAATTTGTTATTGCTAGAATGGTAAACTTGTATTCCAACTTCTTTTAAAATCCTAACGATTTTATATGAAGCTGGGCCAATATATGGTAAACAGACAGAGGATAGATATTCCGTGTCTTGCCTCTGTCTTTGCTGTTCATTCATAGCATGTTCTATGAATTTCTTAGGATAACCATTCATGTGCAGAACATCCTTCAAATGCTTTAACTCTGAGTCAATGCTATTTGAATCACAAATTGTTTTGGCACGGTTGATTAATGTTTTGCATACTGATCTTTTAATGCTAGGATGGTGAAATGAACTATAATTCAGATATCTGTCAGTGTGTGTTGGTTTTCTATAAACTTTATGGCCCAAAGTCCCGTTCTCTTTTACATCAAATAAGATATCTAAGAAAGATATAGAGTTATCTTTCTGTATTTCTAATGTGAATTTAATTGAAGGGTGTATACTATTAATGTGATCTAAAAATTTATTCAAATTTTTCTAAACCATGCGACCAACTACTTAATGTGTCATCTACATATCTAAACCAGAAACCAGGTTTTAAACATGCTGTAGCTATAGCTCTTTTCAAATTCTTCCATGAATAAATAGCCATAACTGGTGATAAGGGACTACCCATAGGAGCACCATGAGTTTGCTCGTAGTATTTCTCCCGCCACTGAAAACTAGTTGTATTCAGGCACAATTTCAGTAGTTCATATATACTCTCAGGAGAAAGGCTAGTCCTTTAGAGAGGGTATCATCTGAAAGCAGCCTGTCTTTCGCAATGTTACACGCCTCATCTACTGGTACATTAGTAAATAAACTAACTACGTCGAAACTGACAAGAATTTCATTTTTACCTAATCTAACATCTTGCATATTCGTAACAAATTCTTTAGAATTAACTACATGATGTTCAGTTTGACCAACAACTGGTTTTAAAATTCTAGCAAGATATTTAGCTAAATTATAAGTCGGTGAACCTTGGGATGCAACTATAGGCCTAAGAGGTACACCTGATTATGTATTTGGGTAAACCATAAAATTTTGGGCACACACTACATGAAGGTCTCAAATAATCATGAAGGTTTTGAGACAAAATACCTGATTTCCTAAGTTCAGATAGTTTAGAACATACTTTACGTTCAATATTGGCTGTAGGATCACGTTTTAGCTCTTTATATGTTGGAGTTTCAAGAAGAGCATGGATTTTACTTTCGTACTCTGCACGATTTAATAAAACCGTAGCATTAGCCTTATCAGCCTTTAAAATATGTATAGACTTATCTGCCCTTAGGTTCCTCACTGCATCCTTCTGCTCCTTGGAAAGATTAGACTTGGGTAAAGTTGTACGTCGCAAGACCTCAGTTACTTTAACACGAATGTTGGATGCTATATCATCTCTGAGATGATTCAACTTTGGTTCCAGATGTTGAACGATTTCTTCTTTAGGAATCTTGTGTGGTACAACAGCGAAATTTAAACCCAATGCCAAGACTTCTTCTTCAACCGGCATAAGTTTTCGCGCACTTTGGTTAACAACAGTGCGTCTTAGAGTGTCAACAGCCAAATCTTCTTGTCTTCTTTTATCTTTTGATCTTTCGGACGTCAATCTTGTGTATTTGGCGATCTGTGTTGAGCGAGCTTTATTAAAGGTACGCGTAAAAGAAGCATCTATCATTCTTTTTGCAACAGCAAAATGTTTTCTTCAAAAGTTAACCAAAGTTCTTCTGTAAGAGTAGCGATGTTGTCATCCACTCCGCTTAGTTGTTTACGCGTCCAAGCAATTCTTTCTCGTAACAGTGCCAACTCGGCTTTCTTCAAGATTTTGCCTGCATGCTTAGTATGGAAACAATTAAACATACGCAAACCTTTCGAACAACTTCGTTGTCTCGACACCTTTTCAGGAAGGTTAAGTTGTTGATTAATCTTGAGCGTTGTTGTGAAAGCCGGTCAAGTCGTTTAAATGATTTATGAAAATACTCTCCATAGAGTTCTGTAATAATTTTCTTGTATGATTGCATGGCGACTTTAGTAATTATAATAACTTGTAGGTACACCACGTAAGTATTAAATACTGCAAAGCTTTCGGTCCGTTAACCCGGACCTTCATCAGTGCAATTACTTGAATACACGTTTGCGCGTCACTTAAATATCATGTTAGTCGTGATTAGTTTGCTCGCGCTATTAATTAAACGGTTTCATTTAATTAAGTTCTAATTAATGCGCGCGCCCTAGACAAGTATTTGACTAAGAGACACCGAAAAGAGCACGCCACGTACTATTAAGTGGCTTTCCCTCTTGGACGATAGTTTGATGTTTATAAATTTCAATAGATTCTCTCATTTTACGAGAGACAGTAAACTTATCGTTTGCTAAAATGGTAGCATCGTTCCATTTAATGCGATGATCATAAGTCCATGCATGGTGAGCTACTGCAGACTTATCCAGTTTACCTTTCTCGCAGTTCGTCTTATGTTCTTTAAGACGTATTGAGAGATTTCTACCGGTCTCTCCAATGTAAACCAAACCACATTCACATGGAATGCGGTACACACCAGGTTTCTGTTGTTCATCGACGCCATCCTTGTGTGTGTAAAGAGCGCGAAACAATTTGTTATTGCTAGAATGGTAAACTTGTATTCCAACTTCTTTTAAAATCCTAACGATTTATATGAAGCTGGGCCAATATATGGTAAACAGACAGAGGATAGATATTCCGTGTCTTGCCTCTGTCTTTGCTGTTCATTCATAGCATGTTCTATGAATTTCTTAGGATAACCATTCATGTGCAGAACATCCTTCAAATGCTTTAACTCTGAGTCAATGCTATTTGAATCACAAATTGTTTTGGCACGGTTGATTAATGTTTTGCATACTGATCTTTTAATGCTAGGATGGTGAAATGAACTATAATTCAGATATCTGTCAGTGTGTGTTGGTTTTCTATAAACTTTATGGCCCAAAGTCCCGTTCTCTTTTACATCAAATAAGATATCTAAGAAAGATATAGAGTTATCTTTCTGTATTTCTAATGTGAATTTAATTGAAGGGTGTATACTATTAATGTGATCTAAAAATTTATTCAAATTTTCTAAACCATGCGACCAACTACTTAATGTGTCATCTACATATCTAAACCAGAAACCAGGTTTTAAACATGCTGTAGCTATAGCTTTCTTTTCAAATTCTTCCATGAATAAATTAGCCATAACTGGTGATAAGGGACTACCCATAGGAGCACCATGAGTTTGCTCGTAGTATTTCTCCCGCCACTGAAAACTAGTTGTATTCAGGCACAATTTCAGTAGTTCATATATACTCTCAGGAGAAAGGCTAGTCCTTTTAGAGAGGGTATCATCTGAAAGCAGCCTGTCTTTCGCAATGTTACACGCCTCATCTACTGGTACATTAGTAAATAAACTACGTCGAAACTGACAAGAATTTCATTTTTACCTAATCTAACATCTTGCATATTCGTAACAAATTCTTTAGAATTAACTACATGATGTTCAGTTTGACCAACAACTGGTTTTAAAATTCTAGCAAGATATTTAGCTAAATTATAAGTCGGTGAACCTTGGGATGCAACTATAGGCCTAAGAGGTACACCTGATTTATGTATTTTGGGTAAACCATAAATTTTGGGCACACACTACATGAAGGTCTCAAATAATCATGAAGGTTTTGAGACAAATACCTGATTTCCTAAGTTCAGATAGTTTAGAACATACTTTACGTTCAATATTGGCTGTAGGATCACGTTTTAGCTCTTTATATGTTGGAGTTTCAAGAAGAGCATGGATTTTACTTTCGTACTCTGCACGATTTAATAAAACCGTAGCATTACCCTTATCAGCCTTTAAAATATGTATAGACTTATCTGCCCTTAGGTTCCTCACTGCATCCTTCTGCTCCTTGGAAAGATTAGACTTGGGTAAAGTTGTACGTCGCAAGACCTCAGTTACTTTAACACGAATGTTGGATGCTATATCATCTCTGAGATGATTCAACTTTGGTTCCAGATGTTGAACGATTTCTTCTTTAGGAATCTTGTGTGGTACAACAGCGAAATTTAAACCCAATGCCAAGACTTCTTCTTCAACCGGCATAAGTTTTCGCGCACTTTGGTTAACAACAGTGCGTCTTAGAGTGTCAACAGCCAAATCTTCTTGTCTTCTTTTATCTTTTGATCTTTCGGACGTCAATCTTGTGTATTTGGCGATCTGTGTTGAGCGAGCTTTATTAAAGGTACGCGTAAAAGAAGCATCTATCATTCTTTTTGCAACAGCAAAATGTTTTTCTTCAAAAGTTAACCAAAGTTCTTCTGTAAGAGTAGCGATGTTGTCATCCACTCCGCTTAGTTGTTTACGCGTCCAAGCAATTCTTTCTCGTAACAGTGCCAACTCGGCTTTCTTCAAGATTTTGCCTGCATGTTTAGTATGGAAACAATTAAACATACGCAAACCTTTCGGAACAACATCGTTGTCTCGACACCTTTTCAGGAAGGTTAAGTTGTTGATTAATCTTGAGCGTTGTTGTGAAAGCCGGTCAAGTCGTTTAAATGATTTATGAAAATACTCTCCATAGAGTTCTGTAATAATTTTCTTGTATGATTGCATGGCGACTTTAGTAATTATAATAACTTGTAGGTACACCACGTAAGTATTAAATACTGCAAAGCTTTCGGTCCGTTAACCCGGACCTTCATCAGTGCAATTACTTGAATACACGTTTGCGCGTCACTTAAATATCATGTTAGTCGTGATTAGTTTGCTCGCGCTATTAATTAAACGGTTTCATTTAATTAAGTTCTAATTAATGCGCGCGCCCTAGACAAGTATTTGACTAAGAGACACCGAAAAGAGCACGCCACGTACTATTAAGTGGCTTTCCCTCTTGGACGATAGTTTGATGTTTATAAATTTCAATAGATTCTCTCATTTTACGAGAGACAGTAAACTTATCGTTTGCTAAAATGGTAGCATCGTTCCATTTAATGCGATGATCATAAGTCCATGCATGGTGAGCTACTGCAGACTTATCCAGTTTACCTTTCTCGCAGTTCGTCTTATGTTCTTTAAGACGTATTGAGAGATTTCTACCGGTCTCTCCAATGTAAACCAAACCACATTCACATGGAATGCGGTACACACCAGGTTTCTGTTGTTCATCGACGCCATCCTTGTGTGTGTAAAGAGCAAATTATTTACCGTTAGTTTTGACTCCCACACAGCAACCTGATAGATGCCTCATATGAGTCATGTTCTTTGCATGTTTACATAGGGTCAAGTATCCAGTTGTATAACTTAATTTGTAGCGTATATACTGAAAAATGCTGTGCCTACAAGATGCACAAACAATAAACTTTCAGACAGACCAGTAGGATACCAAAATAACAAATTTGTATGTTTGTTGCGCATTAAATGACAACATGAACAAGCCCTATGGAGGCTAATATGGTCATCTGATCTGGGTTGACCAAGTTGAAAATGTTGATACTTAAATATACATAGCTGATATGCTAATGTTCCTTGATGATGCCGGCTAAAATTTCGACTTCAATTCGACACTAGCGAAATAAATAGATGTTTAGTGAATAGTGAGAAAATATACATTGGTTGCCTGATCGTCGCGTGCGTAGAGATCAGTATACGAAATGTACAAATTAGACGAGCTGGCGTAATTGACATAGTAACAGCTATAATGATAATCAGCATTTTTGCAATCAGACGGCGAAAAAAACGTGTTTATTTTAAATTTACCATTAATACGTACAGTAAGGGATTAGCGCTTAGTTTTTTTATCCAATTGAAAGAAAAAAATTGGTTTATCTGTTGTTTCTGGTCAAAGTCATCTTAGAATGCGCTTGCACGCATACTATTGTAAATCTGCTCCCCTGCACCTGACATCACAAATTTATTTTCGCATATATTAGCATATGAGGTTTTTTTCAAGATGGCGGATGACTGTCAAATGCTTTCGGATATATCTAAGCAAATAAACGCACTGGACAAGTAAAAATAGGAAATTAAGTATTCCATAGATATGCTTAATTGATCGCAAGAATAAAAAAATGTATTGCCAATACCCTTTAAAGACAAACATAAACAATAGCATGAAATAATACTCAACCTTGATAAGAATACGAACAAAACATTTATATTAAAATATACCAAACGATGTGCAGGTTACGCATCGTGCACGTTTCCGTGAATTGTTGAAACGCTGCTATTAAATAACTTTTAAGGTATAGGGCGAAGAACAATTAATCAAGAAATGAAATTGATTTGTTTTGATATTTATGTAATTGTGTAGTATTATTTCATCCCTTGCCCATTGGGTATTGTGTAGTTCAGTCTAATGCATACACTATAAGGATACAGTAAGCGGCAATTTTTAATAATCACTAGGACATATATTGACTGAATTATTAACTTCAAACTTCATACGTCATTATAAGACCAATAAAATTTACGAATTAACGCAACGAAAGTTACGTTTTCTGAAGTTTAAAAAATTTTAACATGACGTCACAATGCAGTCTGATAACTAGCCCAGTGCGACCACATATGTAATTTTTCACCAAAGTTGCTCAAATCTTTTTTGACTGCCCCATACTGTGGGCGGTAAGCGTAACCGTAAGAATATTCTTGCGCTAGGTTTTCAAATTTTTCCGGCATCGTCTGGACGGGGCCTCAGTGTTCATGTGTTTGCTGGGTGGATTTCATCTTTGCAGGTTACCTCTAATACACTTGCATTAATTGATGCATATTTTATATTAAATATTAAAATTTAAATATTACGCGAGGTTTAAATTTTCTTGTATATACGCAGGTCAACTCACACGAATTTATGTTTAATCTTTAATGAATAATGATTCCAGGTTCATAAATATTGCTTGTTTCTATCAAGATTCAGGGTCTTTTGAATCTCAACTGCATGCTTTGAAAGAAAGACAACGCTGTATATTTAGGTAGTTTTCTGATAAACACGGTTTATGAAACTTGGACAAGACACGGAGATTTCTTTGCAAGAAAAATATTGCACGTTTTCTGAATGGCGATGACACATACAGTAATACGAATAAACTTGTTAGGTTGTCAACTTCAACAATTTTCAATCTTGTAAACGCGCTTTAGTTTGACTGAGAATTAAAAGTTGTCAACTTTTAATAAGCCAACTTTTAAATTGTTCCGCGTGGGAAAGATTTTAGAAACAGACAATATTAGAGTCGATGTATAAACAGAGAATGTGTGTGTCTAATTCAATTGTTTGTTAGCCTCGAGGCTTAAAATTTCAGCTTCTTGAATTGAATCTTTATACAGAACGCCCAATTCGAACCCTCGAATTCTTATAATTTATTATTCAAAATATTGACTGTATATTAAAATTTTAGGAAATTACTAAAAGATTAAATGATTTAGCTCTGTGCCGCGCAAGAGAATAAACACGGATAATCTTAAAAAAGGAAAAAATATGACCAACGCCGTGACAAAAACTTACCTTCTCAAATTTTCAAAGCGATAATTCCACTACATGCATGGCAAAGATTCCCCGGAAATATAACAAACAGATGTGCGGAAATGAAGACTTGAATCCTAGGAGGAAAAACTTTGTAATTCTCAATATAATTTTAAAACTGCCATGCATCTTAGAATGTCGTGCGAGTGTCGTGTAGTTACGGAATTTGTATATTTACGGGGTCATTTTCATTAGCAGAAAGTTCATATTATTCATTTCGTAGTAAACCAGACGCCTATTCTGGCGGTAACTGCGTCGCGTCAATCGTTGCATGCAACTGTGCCCCATAGAGGTAAAACCGAATTATTGGTGCTAGGCAGATGTAGCTAACGATACAGTACAGATATTGATTTGATCGGGCATACAAGGCTTTCATGGCATTCAAGACTTTCATGATTCATGTGTTCATTGTCTGTAAACACGTTTCGAAAGTGTTCGGCATCTTTTAGTGTAGGTTTACCATGATCAGTGTGTGCTAGTGTATGCAGAGTGAGCATATCAAACAAGACAAGACGAGAATCTAGCATTATGATTACCTGTACGTATTTTCTCGAACGACAGACGTCTAGATTTCCTGCGCTATCGGCCATGCACAGCGATTCGTGTACGTGTTCTTTTATTGGACCAGGAACTGGTCCCTAACCGCTGCTAATCTTCTTCTTGTTGTTGTTAGGGGGCGACGCTCTTTAAAAAAACCCTAAGGCTATAGCATTACTTGTTTGATCGGAATGAAACTTGGCACAATTATTCTAAGCAATATTCCGCATCGACTGACGGAGTTTGAATTTTTACTTTTGACCTTTGAAGCAAGTTACAAGCAATTCTTGATATATTTGCAGCAAATAATATATACAAATCATTAATATTCAGTCTATGTACAGGGTGTCCCAAAAAAAACGAAAACTATTGAAATCACCCATAACAATGCCATTGTTAGAATTTGAATGCCCAAGCACTCTGTTGGGCCCACAAGTCTGTAAATCAGGGTTGCCATAAGCATTTTTATGCATGCATATGATGCAGTCAAATTTGCTTGTTCGCAAAAATGATATTTATCAACAATATTTACAATTTACAAATTTGGATAACATTATTTAAATGTGCATCTCAAGGACCATGACCTTCGACATGTCCCCTTTCTCTAGCAACACAAAGCATTTAGCATTTTATAAGTTGAATTAAATCCCCACGGGCTGAAATTCGTGAGCACGGCATTCAAATTTTAACAATGACTGATTTCAATAGTTTTCGTTTTTTTTGGGACACCCTGTATAAGTAAACGGAAACGATTAGAAATACATTGTCCTCTCCATTGCTATAAATACAATGCAGTTCAGAAATTAAACTCAGTTACCCAGTTCCTGGTCCCTATAGTACGATCGTACTTGTATGACGTGTATCGTGCATGCAGTTTCCTGCTTTTGGTTCGCACGACCCAGCGACAACAAACGCTTTCAATTTTTTGTTTCAGTAAAATATTTCTTATTTAGGGTTACTCGGCTTAGGTTACTATTTGAAGTGTGTTTATCACGAAAATATTTCGATACGAAATCACACGAGTTCAAAATACGAGTATCTTCGTTGGCCTGCGCGGCCAGGAAGACTGGGTCGAAAACGTAAAAAACACCAACGGCAATTCACATTTGAAATTAATAGACTCTCATCGATTAATGACAAAAATGAAATCTCGAAAATTAATATTTCAATATATTAATATTTAAAACTTTAGGAGTTATTGTAGATGACCAACTTAAATGGAATTCACATATAAATACGATTACCACCAAAGTATCAAAAGGCATAGGAATGAAAGATTTTGTGCCCCAGTCAACTCTTATTTCGGTATACAATTCATATGTCTTGCCCCACTTTGACTATTGCAGTCTTGTTTGGGATATAGAAAAT